AGTGTCCACAGTGAAAGGTTCCTCTTATGATGGGTCACAGTCAAAATGCAGGCACATTAAAAATATTTTATCAAATTACCTTCTGGCTATGTGTATAATGTATATATGAAACATAAATGAATTTCATGTTTAGAATTGGATCCCATACCCACAATGTTTCACTAGTATATTCAAGTATTCCAAAACCTGAAAAAATTCAATATCTCAAATGTTTGTTTCAAGCATTTGGGATAAGGATAGCCTAGGTTTCCCAATAGCTGGCCAGTTTGAAATGTCTTGCTCTTTCCATCTATTGTCAAGCCATAGTAGTCCCAGTAATATTGCCCTGACACTTTTCCCACTGATTACTCTTCAGATTATAGATGTGTTATAGTGCTAACCTCAGCTGTCATCCTCTTGCCCCTCCATTTGCTCTTGGCCCTTTGCTACTATCTAACTTTCTGTGTAAGGAATTATATTAATTTCAGACTAAATTTGATATAATTCCCAAGTTAAAACCAACTAATTTTTTTTAAAAGATTCTATGTCCCCAAACTATTTAACTTCTGAAATATGTTCCAGAGCCAATAATGAAGCTACCTAATCTGTCCATAAGAGGAAGAGTTGGAGCTATACAGTCAGAGAGATAACCAAGCTCTATACTTACTAACTTTCGCCCTGGGAAAGTTGTTTATCCCTTAGGTGTCAGTATCCTCATCTGTAAACCAGCCATCCTCACAAGGTTGTAGCAAGAATTAAATGAGCTAACTAACATAAGGCACTAGGTATAATAAGGCACTCGATAATTGGTAGCTGTTATTCTAAACAATCAAATTTACCATTTAGCCATTTCTCACTTCAGAATGATTCACTTAAGATGACTGCAAATTGAGAGGACTCACAACCTGGATTATATAGCACCTTAAACTGAAGGAGCAAAGAGGCTGACTTTAGTTACTCTTGTTTCTTATAGTTAGCCCTGTTTCCTTGCTTTCCCTCACTTGGTATGACATAAAACTGCATTTTACTTGACTCAAATTTTCTCACAGAAATTCTAACTGAAATGTTAGTCACAAATATGGTCTACTAATTTTTTAATTATGACAGATGGACCTGAATGCTGAATGTTACCAAATCTCAGGAATTTCCAAGGGAAGTATTTGTTACTAAATAGTGATTAACACAAGGAATGGGAAAGAAAACTAAAACTGGTTAGTGGTAGTGTCTTTTCCAAGGATGTTTATAGTGCTGGGAATTTTACCATACTTTATCTCATTTAATCTTTTCAACAACATTATAAGAAACTTTCATTTAGGGTGAACATGTCCAGGGTTATGTCTATTGTCCTTACTGTTACCTTCTATCATCCCTATTTTATGATTGAAGAAATGGAATCTAATGAAAGGTTGGTATTCTGTACATGTTACAAAACTCTCTTCTGCAGTTGGGTTTTTAGATTCTCATATCCCATGTGTATCGCCTAACAAAACCACCAGTGATCTGCTATTTGCTAAATCCAGATACTCCAGTCATCATATTACTATTTAGCCTCTGTGCAGTATTTCACACTTTTCGTCCTCTCAAGTATTCTCCCTTTAATTTGCATGGCATCCTTTTCCAGTTTCCCTGTCACTCTCCAGCTCTTCCCTGTGAGTCCCCTTTTCCTCCTCCCCTCCCTTAGATATTGTTTCTCCTAGGTCCTCTGCTTAGATCAGAATTCACTTTTTTTTTCCCCCCCGTAACAGATATTGAACCCAGGATCACTTAACCACTGGGCCACAACCCCAGCCCTTTTGTTTTTGATATAGGATCTTGCTGAGTACTTAGGCCCTTGCTAAGTTGCTGAGACTGATCTTAAACTTTCGATCCTCCTGCCTCAGCCTCCTGAATCACTAGAATTACAGGCGTGCACTATGGCACCTGACCCATACTGCATTCTTGAGATGATCTCGTCCTGTCTTTGGCTATTATAACTATCTGCTAACAATTCCCATACCTGTAACTCTGACCCAGAGCTTTCCAGTCCCAGGGTTTGGACATGTGTACTTTCATGTCCCAGAATATAAGGATATAGCCAGCTAAAATTTCATTTTTTCATCTTCCAGCATTCTCCTTTTCTATCACTGGACTCACCATCCTCTCAGCTGCCCATACACCTGGTGTCATTCTTGGGTCTTCCCTCTCTCTCAGACTTCTACCCAATAAATTACCCAGTAACTTTGGTCCATCTTCTCTGACCACTACCAGTTGCCTTCATTTGTCCCCAGACTACTGAAAGGGCATCAGGCCACCCTGTCTCTACTTTTTCCTCTCCATTCCATCCCTTCTTAGCAATGTAGTTAAGTCACTTTTTTTTTTTTTTTTTGGCGGGGGGAGGTGGTACTGGCAGTTCAACTCATGGGCACTGATCCACTGAGCTAAAACCCAAACCCTTTTTAAATTTTATTTATTTATTTATTTTCGAGACAGGATCTCACTAAATTGCTAAGGCTAGCTTCAAACCTGTGATCCTCCTGCCTCTGCCTCCTGAGCTACTAGAATTCCAGGTGTATGCCACCATGCCTGGCTTCAAGCCACCTTTTTAAAAGGCAAATCTGATTATGTCCTCCCTACAAAATCCTTAAGCCTGATTGAATATTTTTAAGTATTTATTTATGTATTTATTTTGTGGTGCTGGAAATGGAACTCAAGTTCTCATGCAAGCTAGGGAAGTACTTCAGTTGTATCCTTTAAAAGGATGAATTTTATGGTTTGTGAATTATGTATCAATTTAAAAAAAAAATGACCTGGTTTGGCTTTTATATTCCTCATTACCCCCACAACCGGCCACATCCCCCTCCTCTCAGCTTTACCATTCTGCATTTTTCTTCTTTTGAGCTTACATTATCACCTCTAATGTTTCCACATGCTATTTATTCTCTGCAGGAAGCACTCTCTCCCCACCTCTCTCCCTTACCCTCCTCTTCATTATTTGGCTAACTCCATGCCCTTTAGCTCTCAGCTTGAGAAACCTCCCCAGAAAGCCTTCCCTTATCCCCCTAAAGGGATTAGGTGCTCCTGCTATGTACCCTGAGACATTTCATACTTGGCTCTTCTATAGTATTTATTACATATTTGCTCATTCTATGGAGAGCTACTGAATAGCTGCTCTGGGATGGACAGTGGGCCAGGTGCTAGGTTTTGGTGGCAAGTAAGAGCCGTCCTCATGGAGCTTACAGTCTAACAAGGGAGGAAGATGGACATTAAACAATTATACTAAATGTTTTAATTATAGTTAAGATGTTTCAGAACACTCTTGAGAGGGTATGACAAGAAATGTGACACTATTTGAGGGATCAAGGAACACTCTCTAGGAAAGTGACATTTGATTAAGCAACTTTAATAGGAGTTGGCCAAAGGAAGAGTGGAAGGTGGAGTGCTCCATGCAGAGGAAGAGCATGTGAGAATGCTCTGACATGAAAGAGCTTAGGGGAATTTCAGAAATGGAAAGGCCAATATAGGAGACCAAAAAGAGCCTAGAAAGCCAAATCATGCCAGTCCATGTGGAACATGGTAAGAGTTTCTATTTAAGAGAAGTACGAAGCCTTATAAGGGAAGTTTAAAATTCCCCTTGACTACTGTGTAAAACTGGAAACAGGGTAACAAGAGGCTCCCCAGTGTCTCAATCTCCCACCAGTCTGTAAGCTCTGTGAGGGCAGAAATTGTGTCTTACTAAGTTCAGCACCATGCCTAACAAATCAGAGAGTTATTTTAATGAATAAATGAATGATTAGGGCCAACATTCCAGCTTAGGTTTTCAAGAAAGACCATGCTCATTTCTCAAAATCCCATTTCCCCTATACATAACCCTGCAAAGACCAACTCTTTATCCCACTCTAGGCTGGGTTAGCATGTACCTCCTTTTGTTTCCAGTGTATCTGTGATAGATTGTATTTTCCCAAACTGGCCAAAATATCTCACAACCCATCTTCCAGTGTAATGTTGATACTCCCTACTGAGAAGTGAAGTCTTATTCCCTCTCCTTGAATCTGAAGTTAGGTCATATAATTCATCTTCCTCCTGATTCTCTTAGGTAGCTCACTCTTAGAACCATGCAGTGAGGAAACCCAGACTTCCCTGTAGAGACCCATATGGAAACAGATAGGTTGGCTATCTTGAAAGTGCATCTTCTAGTTCCTAGTGATATACCCCAGTTTACAATTTTTGGAGTAGAAAAGCTGACCCTACCAAACCCTGCCTAGTTTCATTAGTAAAATAAGTAATGGTGGTTGTAACCTTAAGCCACACAGTTTGGGGACAGTTGCCTAAACAGCAATAGGTAACTGAAACAGCATCCTACATTCAACACACAGTGATGTGATACAACTCAGTGGTTAGGTAAATGGGCTACAACTGCCTTTGTTCAAAGCCTACTTCTATTACTTTGTTGCATGACTATTGGCGAGTTGCTCAACATTTCTGTGCTTTCATATTCTTTTGTCAATATAGTACTTAAGTTTGTTGAGAGAAGTGATTTAGTACAGGTAAATGTATTAATGAATATGTATATGAATACATATATATGTGTATGTATAAATGTATGTATGTATAATTTTTAATACTAAAATGATCTTATCTGCTTTATTGTTCATCTCACCAGAGTATAAGCCCCAATAAAGTAGGAACCTTGTTTGTCTGATTCACTACTATATCCCCAGTACCTGGAACATTGCCTAGCACAAAGTGCATATAATATTTTTTGTCAATGAATGTATGCATAGCACTTTTCATACTACTTGTGGAAGATGTCTCTGGTTCCTATCTATTCTCTCCCTCCAGAGTAGTAGATCCTGCTTTTGTTGTGAATGTCATGAAATACTATCCCAGATTCCTTGGAATCTAAGGATCATCATGTTATGAGTTTTCTATCAATAAGATGTAGTCAAAAGTCTGCTAAGGATATCTGGGAAATTTTTTGCTGTCTTAACCTAGGTATTACCCTTTCTTCTGTCTCCTTTCCCTCCTTCCTGCTTTCAATACAGGCTAAAAGTAGAACAGCCAAAAAGTTGATGAGCATGAAAACAAGATGGAGAAATAGGAGATACTGATGATCTAGTGAAGTCACTGTTCCACTAACTGCAGACTTCTAAGAAGACACTTAGCAACCCTTTGTATTTAAACTCCAACAGCCAGGTTTCTGTTACATGTAGCTAAATAAATGGTCTGTTATGGAATCCTATCTACTCTAGACCGATCATTAAGGACAAGCCTATGCATTTTATTTACCTTACTACTCTGTAGGAGAACCCAAAGAATTTATCAGCCCAGAGCTAATTCAATATACAGATCTCTAGCTCACTTCACATAGTGACACTGGTTAAGTAGCAAGGCACACTACATTATCTACATCTCTTTAACTTGAGTTCAACATATTTCACTGTGTGTGTGTTATGTGTACCATTCATTCCTGAAAAAAGCATTTATTTACTGCCATTCTATGCCAGACACTTTGTTTCTACAAGGAATACAAAGATGAGTTAGTCAGGTAATTGAAGCTGGATGCCCAAGCTCCCACTAAATAGCAACTCCCCAAAGGCAGCAGCTGAGCTGCTCTCAATAAGGGACAGACTCAAGTCCAGCAGTCCTGACCATCTTATTCCTCATCTCATTCTTTACTCCCATCCCCACTTCACTTATTCACACATCTGCTTTTTTATTTTAATGTTTTTAGTTGTAAATGAACACAATATCTTTACTTTATTTCTTTTTATGTGGTGCTGAGGGTTGAACCCAGTGCCTCATACAGCTAGACAAGCACTCTACCACTGAGCCACAACCCCAGCCCACACTCATCAGCTTTTTTAAGTGCTTCTCATGAGCATAGAATACCCATTACTAAGTTAGCATATGTTTGTATTTTGAATGCCTACTCTTCCAAGGTAAGGATCCAAGGTTTTAAACTGTGTTTTCTTGGCAACTAAGTCATGTGCTCTTGCTAATCTATCATTAAGTGGCTGTTCTCCCAATATCAACACACTTGTATGCTGTCCTGTAACTCAGCAGCAGGACTGGATGTATTAACCTTATCCCGATGTCATGATTGGGTGTTAACAGTCCCAAGCCCAAATGATGGATCCCTTCACTCGCAACAAGGCACAGTTAGATCAAAATTTGGAACTGTAGTAAAACACTTCAGATTAGTCATTAACTTATCCCCAAGGTTAAAAGTTTTAGGAATTTCTGCCATGGAAACACAGCAGGTATGACACAGTTGAAGCAGACCATTGAAACAGGTACCAGTAATTCTGGGACCACATTATATTGTCATTTTTTTATATTTTACTTTTGGAGGCTCTTTAAATTTTTGTTACTTGTGTAAACTGTTTTTAGGGGCAGAAAGCTGGGCCCTTTTGAGAAGTTGATGGAACTTATAGTACTCTTCTCCAAATAAACACACACACAATATTTAGAAAGTTTTAAGGATTAAGAAATTACCTGTGATTTGCCATGAGGATGGAAACCTTTTCTATACCATCATTTGGTTTATCATATCCTGTTTACATTTTTTTTTTTTTTTTTTTTTTTGCTGAGGATCAAACCTAGGGCCTCATGCATGCTAGGCAAGCACTCTATCACTGAGTCACATCCTCAGCCCTTTCATATGTGATGTTTGATCCCAATGAGTAGGTAAGTTTTCTGAAATAACCTGCTCTTTTTTTTTTTTCTTTTTTTTTTTTTTTTGATACACCAGGGATTGAACCCAGGGGCTTTTGACCACTGAACCACATCCCTAGCCACTTTTATATTTTATTTTGAGTCAGGGCCTCACTGAGTTGCTTAGGGCCTGGCTAAATTGCTGAGGCTGACTTTGAACTCAAAAACCTCCTGCCTCAGCCTCCTGAGCTGCTGAGATTACAGGTGTGCACCACCATGCCCAGTACATATGCCTTTTATTATCCCCCAGGAATGTATGTGTGTAGACTCTATGGCTTGTAGGAAACATTTGTCAAATGAATCTTTTGAAGCTGCTGCTATTTACAAAGTCAGGCAGCTTTTAACACTTCTGCCCTACCTCCCTCCAACACAAGAGATCACCACAAGAGGACTTGGACCCTACACTCATGTTCTATTTACTTTCAAGGTTTTAGGTTCAGACACATACATCTCATGCAAATATCCACTCTTAGATATTTAGAGAACAAAGCAGTGTGTAATAGAAAGCTTTATACAAAAAATAAAAATAAATGCAGTCTACTGTCATAAAAATTTGTGAATTTTTTATTCCTTAACTCTGATACCTTGCCCCATATGTCCACACCTAAAAATAGGACCCATATTCACCCTTTCTCAAGTTACTTCTCAAACTACACTCTCTTCCTGACATGTGCTTATGGGGAAATTTTTAAAATAAGTAAAAATCTAATGCTACCAGAATGGTGTCCATGTAGTTTTTCCTTTTTTACCCTGATCTTTCCCTCCTGCTACAAATCTCCAAGGTCCACCTTCAATGCTAACTTGTTTGGAACCTAAAGGGTTTTCTTTTCTCCCAGAGGCTTTCCCTGACTCTGTAGGCAATTGCAGCCACCTGGTGGCCATATGGGAAAAGGACAGATTGAGTGTCCCAAAACATCTCTGGTGAGGAAGAATTCAAGGAATAACTTTCCTCTTGGGTATATGGGAAGCAGGGAAAAAGAAACCTGTGGATAGAAACTGTGGCACAGGAGCCCAATATTATATATCTTGGTTCCATCTTGCCTCCCACCCACTAGTCATTACAAACAGATTAATTCCTTGATATCTGAATTCATTCAATCAATATTTATTGAACAGCAACTATGTACCCAGCAATGGGAATACAGCAAAGACAAAATATATAAGATCTCTGCCTCCATGAGCTTACAATCTAGCAGTCAGTCAGCTGGTAACATCTATAATTTTACAATAGTTATAAGAACCTGACAAATTGAATGTGCTGAGAAGACAACAAAAAGTCTAGATCTATATTGAGAAATCAGAAAAGGACTGCCTGAGGAAGAAACATTTAGGATGAGCTAAGTGGAAAATGGAAGGGTGTGGTGAGCAGAGAGAACAATCTTTGTGAAGGCTTTGAGGAAAGAAGATACTTTATGAAGGCCAGCCATGGTGTCTGAGGCACAGGCAACAAAGAGGTGTATTATGAGACGAGACACACAAGGTAGGCAGGGCCTTATTTATGCAGGGTCTTTGAAATTAGTGTTTTATTCTAAAAGCAAATGGGAGCCACTGAAATATCTGAGCAGGAAAGTGAGATGTTGAGGTTTAAATCACTCTGATGACAGCATATAGAAGGCAGAAGTAGAAATGGAAGGACAGGTTAGGAAGTTTTCCCAGCTGTCTAAACAAGAAGTGTTGGTAATTCAGAGAAAAGAAGATAGATTCCAGTGATATTTAGCAGATAGAATCTACTTGGTGAGTGTCTGGGTATGTGAAGAAAGGTGTGTGTTTCTGGCAAGAGGTACTAAAGTAGGATACTCTGGAAGAGGGACAAATTTGGGCAAATTAAGCACATACCATAGGCACAGGCTTTGAAGCTGGCAACAAGAGGAACAGCATAGCTTTGATTCTCAAATAATTTAAGGTTTAGTTAAGCAAACAAGATACATATGAGATCATTGCATAGTTGATTAAATATCACAATTATTGATCCAGATAATTCAAGGATTCTTTCATTACATAGGACTAGATTCTATCAGTCCCAATGAATTCAGAAAACTGAAGCCAATAGGGATAACTCCACCTTTGTTCATGCTTCTCATAGCCACTTAGAAAACTTCTGTGCAACCCACCCAATGTCTCTAGAGACCACCTTCCTCTGAGCTGGGTTCAGGACCCAACCAGGAAGATGTACTAAAAACTCTCCTTGGTTCATTTTTGCCTGCTGCTGCCAGTAAGTTCACCTGTCCTTCTCCATTTCCCTCCCCTGCTTAGGTTACAAGGGGTGAAATCTAGCCATTGCTCCTGGTTGGTTCTCTTTTGGTCATTGGGAATTGTCTACCTTACTTAGTTCTCTCTTTACATGTCCCCTGTCAAGTCACCTCTCTATTCCTAAAGAGGTCTTCCTGGCTTACTCTTTGCTTCTGGAGTACTCTGCTGATTAATTCTTTCCCAACACAGTAACTGCTGACTAATCAATAGGCCTACAGTTTCTTATTGTGCAGCAAATTCAGGACAAACCCAAATACCAAATACTTGGTCAGAGGCAGCATTTTAAAATGTTACCATGAAGTTAAGAGATTGAGAACAGTCCCTTTAGCCTTTGGAGTTGGGCAGACTTGGATTTGCATCCTGACTCTAATGGTAACTAATATCTCTTTGCTAATGAACACTTCTAAGTTTCAAAAGACTTATCTGGGAAATAGTGTTAATAGTATTCATTTATGGGGTAGTTGTAATAAAGAGGGTGAATAAAGTACCCATTATAATATCTTGACTGGATTATCTGATGACCATTTATTTCCTTTCTTTCCCTTGGGTTTCAGCTACTAAATACTTTTCTAAAAAGACAATAAGGGGGGGAGGAAGTGGGTAAGTGCTAGGGAATGATAATAGCCTAATTACATTGTTATATTGTGTGCATGTATGTAACAACAAATCATTATCATGTACAACTACAATGCACCAATAGAAAATATGGAAAGAAAAATTTAAAAAAGAGATTAGCCAGGTTTTATGGTCAATGATAGTCATTTCCTACTCCTATCTTTGTAGATCCCATCTTTCTACAGCCATCTCATTTCTGCCATTGCCGAAAATGTTCTTCCACCCCTCATCCTTGTGTAGGATTTCTTTCTCTAAATATCACCTTCTACCTGAGCTCCATTTACCTCTTTCGCCCCTACAACTCCCTATCCAAGATACTGTGCCTTCTTGTGTCATCCCTAAAGACTAATTCACTTCTAGCGTTCTCCCTAATTTTCGCAGAGCAAATCAGAAGGGAACTGGAGAATAAGATTCATACTTCAGAAGGTCACGAGAACTACAGTCCAGATCCCAAAGGGGAAAGGAGGTCTGAATCCAAGCACCCCACACCCTCACCTCTTTTCCTCAAGAACAGAAAAAGGCAAACTCAAATTATGTCTTAATCCAGACAAGCACACATCTCCTTTCCTATAGCTCTGTGAGGTCATCACTGAAGTAGAGCAGTATTGCAGGTATGTAGTGTGTACCATCCATTTTGAGATAGTCAAATTCTTCCTCCTCATCCTGGATCCCATTCTCTTCAAGGGTATGATCCATGTTCAGGGTCTTCCCTTCATATTTCCACGTGTAGCTGGCAGCATGTGCATTATAGGGAAGATAGCGGTGTAGGATTTCCCACATTGACTCCAGAGCCCCCACCTGGAGAACATGGAAGCACCCACCTCTAGAATTCTGGATGGAACATATGCTCATGTACACACACACACACACACACACACACACACACAGCAAAGGCCAGGAGCCCAAGATATACAGAGCTAGGATCAGAATGCCTCCTTTGGCAGATAGTAGCTTCAGGCACTCCACAGTCCCAGAAATAAAGTTGGAAGTTTCAGCATGCAATGAAGGGTGCCAAAATCCTGTCATCTTTATGGCAAGCCACTTCTAACAAACAGATGGCCCCAAAGGGTCAAAGCTAGTGTCCTCTCACTTCATCCTTGGCATAGAATAGTCTTAAGAGTCCAAAACTGTCCAAAACAGCCTGTAAGAGCTTCCAAGGACAACCATTACTAAGATGCTGCCCTGGACTTATGAAGGAATGTCTTGTACCCTGTAACCCAGACACTCCTAGAATTCCCAACCCTGGAGACCTACGTGGTCTGCTTTCCTCAGTCACCTCAATTTAAAAGAGAGAAAATTCAGCTCTCACCCAGTTATGGCAAACTGATGGCCTGAAGATCTCTTTGGAGATCTCCTGAAAGCATCAGTTCCTTCTCTAACCTGTCCCCAGGCACCAGATCTCACCTCCAGTATGTGCTGCTGCGACGTGAGAGTGTTAATGATGCGAATATTCCGGGTCTTGGCAGACAGCTTCCCCACCTCGTACTGCGACCCTTTCCACCAGGGATTCCCAAAATCATTGGCCCAGTCCGATCGGGGCAGCTGAGGTGGGACGTGCACGAAACGGCCCCGCGGGGTGCGGTACCTCAGGCAACCAGTCAGGGGATCTATGTGCTTGCGGATCTTTAAAGAAGGGGTTGAGTTTGGGGTGAGGCTGGGCGCAGATCCTAGCCGTTACTATTTCAGATTCAGCTATTTCCCGCTTTTCCTCCCTATCATCGCTTCCCCTACCAAACCCCATGTTCCAACATAACTTACGTCTCCGGTGTTTGGATCAAACCAGTGGCTGATGTCCTGGCCTGCAACTTCCACGATGGGTTTCAGCAGCAGGTTCCCTGGGAAGGAGGAGCTGTTGTCAACGCTGGCTACCCAAGAACCAGCCCCGCCTACCTCCACCACCACACACACCCCAGTCCTGGTCCAACCTGTGTCCCTTACCCTTGTATTCCTGAGCCAATGGCGTTAGGTCGTACACGTATCCCAAGTAAGACACCCAAAGGTCTTCGGGCTGGTTATGTCTGGCCACTTCTTCCGGCGTGAAAAAGCGACGCTGGAAGCCCTCAAACTCTGGCCCAGCCACTAGGCCCCGGCGCGGCATGGCTCTTGCTCTATCGGGCACTGGGTCCCTTGCCTGCTTCCTCGCTCCTCAGAGCACACACACATTCTCCGCGTCCAGGAGCTAAGGTGAGCGCGTTTACCCGCTCACATGGAAACCATTGTCCTTTCCCGGCCACCGTCCACTGAGATTAAACACTGTGAGGGCGAGGAAGGGCTTGGTCTGTGCGAGCTCACGGGAAACGTAGTCTGATTCCGACATAGGTCACATAAACATTGAATAATTTGGAAAAGCGAACACATTCCGTTTTAATCCAGAGGTCTGGGCTACACGGGATATTCAGGAAGAACTATCTTAAGGCAGAAAAACAAGGTGAGGAAGCAGGATGGAAGAAGGTATTCTCGCTAAATTTCTGGGTTTCTAAAAGATGTATAAGAAAATACAGGTAAATTTCTCGCGATATTTTAAGACATCCGGCGTAATAGGTCTCGGTGAACCACTGCCATGTAATAGGAGAAGCTCGCGAGATTTCTGCAGTTGCCGGGAGACGAGGAGGAGGAGGAGGAGTGGTGATCTCGCGAAAGGAAAGACGTCGGGAGCGCTCGCGAGATCTCAGACCACCGGACCCGAAAGGTTTTTAGGAGGTTTAAGGGCCCAGAGGGGCCCGCGGGGCAAATGGCTGGAGCTGGGCCGACCATGCTACTACGAGAGGAGAATGGATGTTGCAGCCGGCGACAAAGCAGTTCCAGCGCCGGGGTTAGCGCGGGCTCGGGTTCTGGGATTGAGGGGCAGTCGGGCAGCAAGATGGGGGGAACGAGGGGGGGGGGAACTGCAGCTCCCGGCAGCCTCTGGGCTTCTGAGTGCCCCGTGGGTTGCCGGGAGCTGTGGTTTCGCAGACAGGCGGGCTGCAGAGACTGCAAGGTCTGAGTGTATTCCGCCTGGAGCAGGACTCCGATGGGGAGCACGAGGACTCGCCGGCTGCGCGTGCCCGGCAGCAATTAGAGGCGCTGCTCAACAAGACTATGCGCATTCGAATGACAGATGGACGGACACTGGTCGGCTGCTTCCTCTGTACCGACCGCGACTGCAATGTCATCCTGGGTTCGGCGCAGGAGTTCCTCAAGCCATCGGGTCAGTGCCCAGGGGATGCACATCCGCTTGGGAATGTGGCGGAAGTTCACGCAAGGCATTTTCCCTCAGGGTCTGACAGCACTCCTTGTTTTGTGGGGCGTGTTTTCGTGGCTCAGAAGGGGCGGGACCAACTTTGGCCTGCCTCCCTGATGCTCTGACCCTTCTTTCCAGATTCCTTCTCTGCCGGGGAACCCCGTGTGCTAGGCCTGGCCATGGTACCGGGACACCACATCGTTTCTATTGAGGTGCAAAGGGAGAGCCTTGCAGGGCCTCCGTATCTCTGACCATAATTAGGCATGTCTTTCAAACCTCATTAAATTTATGACTGATGTGCGCTGTGTCTGTGTGTAGCTTCGATAATACACCCAACCCCTAGAAACGGGGATTTATCTGAGGCCAAGAGCATTTTCAATCCTCCCCCAACCTTATGCCCAGGGGTGCCAGAATTTCCCTTCAGTTCGAGGTTGGGGATGGGGAACAGGCTGTAGACCAACAGAACCTGGGGTGGACCCTAGCATCTTCCCTCCCACGCTCCTGCTCCAGAATTGTGGCGGGAAAGGGTGTCATCCTGCTCCGGAAGGCCCATTGTTTCCCGCCCCGGCCTGGCAACACTGAGTTCCTCTATGTTGGGGTCAGAGAACGGGCTCGATCCCCAAGGGGAACCGGGTAGGCGGGGGTGAAACAAGGCCCCCTCTGCTATTGATGTGGAGGTGACTTTGGGGTCAGGGACAGAACTCTGGGGTCTAACCGGGAAGAATGGACAAATACAATAAGGAAATGCCAGGAGGCTGAAGGATGCTTCCCGCCTGAGTATTTGTAATCTCAGGAACTCGTTTCCTGCTCCTGGGCGCCCCTCGGCTCACAGCACACTCCTGTTAATAAATTCTTTATTGATGTGTTTTTCTTCACCTCCAGCATCGCCCCTCAGCCCTGTAAAATTCTAGAGGAGCTGAAGCTGAAAAGGATGGCACAGGTTCAGTTGTCCTGATCACGTTAAGGGAGTGGGAAGGAGGGTGTGCAGGGTCCAGCCCAGATATTCACGATTCAAATGTGGGTAGTCATAGGAAAGCAGTTTTTCCGGGGCGTGGGAGTTTTCGCCAGCACTGGGGTCCAAAAATGTTGCTGTCCCCCAAATGGATGCTAGAACCCGGCTCAGGTAGGGGTGGGGGTAGGGCAGAAGATCCTGGCTTCGAGTCCTTGGGTCCCACAGGAAGGGAGGACGGCACTAGTGTTCTTGACTCGAGGCTCCTCAGACCCAAACCTTTCCCGGCGTAGGAAAGGCTTGGCACCCTGGTGAGCCCCGGGTTTGCCGCGGCTGCGGGGCCCGCCGGCGCCGATAGAGGGCCCGGCTGTAAGGCACGAGACAGTCGGCCAGGCGGAGGCGTAGACAGAGGCGGCGGTAGCTGGCCAGGGCAAGCACGAGCAGCGGAACGAGGAGTAGGAATCCGGTGACCAGCAGGGCGGTGAAGCCCGGGTCTCGTAGGTGCGCGGTGCAAGGGGGTGCCTGAGAGCGCAGGAACTGGGAGGAGAAGAGGCGTCAGGCCCAGGTCGACCTGAGCCACATGGTGCCCAGAGTGGGAACAGCCCAGCCCACGGGGTGGAGGGGAGAAGTTGTAGCCCATAGACCCCGCCGCCAGCATCACCACACTGGACCGTGCCACACGCGCGGACACACACACACACACACACACACACTGGGGTGCACACTTACCTGGGAATGGCAGAGGAAGCCGAAGCCTAGCATGGTGACAGCGGGTAGCAAGATGGTCCCCAGCACCAGCGCCAGCAGGAGTAGATTGAAGGCAGCCACCATTAGGTTCTGAGCAGTTACCAGCACAGCGCAGGCCCAGCAGTCCAGGGGATCGCGGGGCTCTGGGCTGCCGCCGAGAACCGGTCGCTGGGCCCCGGGGACATCCGCCATGGCCTGGCTGGCTCTCGCCAGCCTGGGCCGCGGCCCTTATAGCCCTCTTTCCTGCCCCTCCCCCGACCCATCCTCTTCCCACCCCCACCCCCCCTTATCCTGGAATGCGGCTCTAGGATTAGGCACCCCCATCCCAAGGAGCGGTCCAGAGCTCTGGACATTCCACAGGCGCCTCCGGGAGGGGTTCGCCCTTGTCAAGGCCTGTGCAGTTCCTCCCCATCAATCACTTTCTTGCGGCCCTCCTCCCAGTACTCTCCCCTGCTATCACCAGCACGTTATCAAAACAGGATTTTCTTTCTTCTTTTATTTTTAATATTAATAATCTCACACAAAAAAATCACCGAAAATAGGAATAGGGTTGGGAAGACCCCTCTGCCCCAAGGGCAGAGAGACAGTGCAGTGCGAGGGGGCGGGACTGTAAACCCCCCACCCCACCACAGCCCCAGCGGGGAGGGAAAAAAAAACAAGAAAAGAAAAACAGAGCCCCAGAGAAGCTCGTCCTGGGGTGTCCCAGCCCCAGTGAGGTCCTGGGCTTGGGCTGTTTCACACTTAAAAAGAAAATGGGGGTGAAGGTGAAGGTCTTGTTTTAAAAATTGGCCGGGGCTGGGGAGGACGGGGTTCCTTTTCCTCATAGTTCTTTCTTTAAAACTTTTAAATTTTTTATTTATTTATTTATTTATTTTTTTACAAAATACCATTTCAGTTCCCACTTCTTCCCCTACAGTACAGGAGTCGCTCACCCTCAGGCGGGGTTGGGGTCAGGTCGGGAGTGGGGGACTGGTCCGAGAAAGTGCAGGACGTAGGGGAGGGGAGCTGGTTTGAGCACCATGAGAGCCCGGCTGGAGCCACGGACGGACGGGCGGGCGGAGACCGACGGGCCGAGCCCGGAGGACACACATTGGGGTGGGGGGAGAGCCCAGGGGCGGGCAGTCCCCGGAGGGGCGGGTGGGATGGCTTGGGGGTAGCGGGAGGTTGGGTTTTCCCAAAAATGAATAAATAGAGGTGAGTGGGACTGTTATAAATTAAAAACCAAAAACAAACAAAAAAATACAAATCATAACCAAGTGAATAAACAGACATGTACAGGGGGTCACAGCTAGCATTGGAAGTAAAAAAAAAAAAAAAAAAAAGGAGGTTCTGGGGGAGGGGTAAAGCCCATAGAAAGAATCTCATTAAAAACCTCGGCTGCCTTAACGTTTATGTACATACACGAGCCCCGTGCATCAGCGGGCGGGCGGGCGACTGGCAGGCGTGAGGGAACCCGTATGTGACCCCCGCCGCCGCCGGAGCCTGGTCCTTGTGTCTGTTGCTAGAAAGGCCAAAGTCGGTGAGGGGAGGCGCTGGTGGACAAGGGGCTGCCAGCCCCCTCCCCCGTCTCCCATTTTTTTTTCCTTTTTTCCTCATATTTGTTTAAAAAAATTTTTTTTTCTTAATAAATTAAGTGAGGGGAGCTGCCAATAGGGTGGAAGGGCTGGGCCCAACCCCCTTCCCGGCCAAAGGCGGGACCTAGGTCCAGCCCAGGCATGTGCTGGTGGCCCCGCGGCGCCCTACAGAGGGGCGGGCGGGCGAGCGGGGCATCCGGCTTCATCGCGACGAGCTGGCGGGGGCCTGCGGAGAGAAAAGCGGCGGGGGCTCAGCGGTTGACGCTGAGCGGGTCCCCAGGCCACCCGCCCAAGTCTCCTCCTCAGCCCCTCATCCGCGCCCGCGCTCACCAGCGTGAAGGCGTCGTAGGCCTGAGCCAGCTCCTCAGTGCGGTACTGCTCCAGCACCACGACGCCCTGTAGGCCCGCGCTGCGGCGGCGCGCACAGCCCTCGCAGTGCACCAGGTACGTGTTTCGGCTGCCGTTCTCACTCGTCACGAACAGGATGTTGAATACCTCCACCTGGTCGGGACAAACTGGCAGTCACAAAGAGGGCTGGCCACAGTGGACACCTCCTCCGGGCAAATGAGAGGAAGAACGCTTCACTCACATCGCACTCGTTGCAGTAGTAGGCGGGCTCGTCCTTGACTCGGCCCTGGTAAGCTATCTTCTTCCCTGCTCGCACCAGGCTCTCACGTTGCACCTGGCAGTGCTTCATGGATTGCAGGAGGCAGAACCTTGGGAGGGGCCAGGAGGAAATGTTGAGGCCAGGCTGCAGCAGGGGCAGATGGGTTAAGAGCTCAGACAGCCCCATAGACTTCTCGTGGGGAGTCTTCCCTCTCCATGGCTGGGTCACCTCCCCTGTCCTAAGCATCTGTCAGTTTAAATTTCAAAGGCCAGGGGATGTACCTCAGTGGTAGAATGTTTGCCTAACCTGACCTACTCCAGGGCCTCAATCCCCAGCTCCACAAAAAGAAAAGAAGAAAGAAAGAAAGAAATTTCAAATAGTTTTGCCTGTTTTATCTACTTAGAAAATGAAAGTCCTGAGACCAGGAACTTTGCCAGTCTCCCCAACACAGTAACACTGTAGGCACATGGTAGGCATGGACAGAGAAACAGATAAAGAGTAGAGTAACGTCAGATACCAAGAACAAAGTCAGGGACTAGATCAGGTGGAGGTGGGCTCCCACCCCAAACAGGGCCCTCACTTGATCATCTTGAACAAGTCGGGGTCGCTGATTTTGACAGTGCGCGCCACATTCCAGGACACATGAATCATGGGCACAATGGATTTGACGTTCTTCACCTCGTTCCACTCATATCGTTCCAGGGCCAGCTGGTACTGATAGGCTGCAGGTCAGAGGGAGTCACCACATATTCTCAAACAGCCCCCAGCCATCTAGGCCTGAGCCCCTTCCCTAGCAGATGGGCCACCCTCCATGCCCACTCCTTCCCAACAGAGCTCACACTCCACGGGCCCCACCCTCTCACCGGTGAGGGGCCCCACATTCCAGGCAATGTTGTTGCACCAGCCGGTGGCCTGCACCCAGTGCACAGTCCCTGCATTAATCCACACAAGGTCTCCAGGGCGCTGCACAAAGCGGTACACAGGGATATTGGAAGCGTAGAGGTCATCCAGAATTGGCCACCAGGAACCCGTCAAGTAGTCCACGCCATGCCTGCAATGTGGGCAGACAAAGGGTCAGGTCCTTAGGGACCCAAAAACGGAAAGCAGTAGGGTGACTAGAGAGGGGGCAGTGCACACCGGTCACAGAAGGCGCTTATGGTCTCCCAGTAGTGCTCGTGCACTGCGAACCATTCGCAGTCACCAGGACCAATGTTAATGTTGACTGAGCAGAAATTGTTGTTCTCTTGGTGGCCTGCAGAGGGAGACAGAGAACAGCATGATTGGCCTGACAGCAGCCCAAGTTCCGCGCAACCCCGCCCTTTGCCTTTATTGGCTGACGACTAAGGGCCACCGCTACTCCCTCCTCTGGTACACTTGAGCAGTGAGCACTGAGAAGCGCACCTGGAGTCCGACTGCCCGGGACTTTCATGTACAGCTGTACGGTATTCATGCCCAGGATGGTGTGGCCCACGTGGCTGAGCATGTTGCCTGTGGATGTTACCCGCATGAAGGCGGGCAGCTTCAGCAGCTCCTGCAGCTGGGGCTTCCACCTGCAGGGCGAGGGAGCAACCCAAATGAGAGGGTACCCTCCACACTGCTTGCCCAGCAGCGCTCCTGTCCCAACTTTGCTGCCTCAACCCCACTGACCGTTTGGCATCAGATAGATCGATATTCGTGCCAAATTTGATGATGTGATGGTTCTTCGGGTCTGGTGCACTGCTGTTGGAGCAAGAGCATAGGTTGGTGGAGAGCACAGGGAACAGGAGCCATTCAGGGAGGAGACACAACAATGCCTTCCTTACCTAGGAGGGGTTCCTGTGGTGCTGTCTGGCTCTTCCGACTCCTCATCCTCACTCTCCTTCTCTTCCTGCTCAGCCAGAGGGGCAGGCATTCCTGGATCAGTGACCTTTCTGAATCCCTCCCACTGCAGCCTCTGATCCCAGCACACCTCCTTCTACCCACGTTCCCCCATCACCTGTAATGACTCCTGGAAGGAAGAGGCCTGGTACTGTGCATACTTGGCAATGGTGGTGTGGGAACGAGAGCTCTCACAGGGCCAGATCTGTCGTGTGCCGGTCAGGTCCCAGTTCTCATCTGAGGGCTGCTGCACTTGTGTGCGCACCTCCACGGTGTGCTCGCCACTAGCCTCCACCAGCGTCTTGGTGGAGAAGAGGCCTAAGTCTGCAAGGAAGGGCAGAGCAGGGAGTGGGCAGGCAGAGGCAAAGGACAGGGACTGAAGACCCAACTCACCCTTTCCCTTCCTACCACTCAAGTCTCTGACAGGGTGGACACAGGTTTGGCAGAATTCAGTCCAAAGGAATGGACAAGAACCCAAGCCCCAAAGGAGGCTGACAGGGCTAGCCTCTCTCTGGATCCTCACCAACCCCAATCCTCCCACAGCTGCTCCAGGTCCTTAGCCCCTCAACCAGAGTCCTCAGCTCTGGATGTGACATGTGCACAGCACTTGGCACATAGTAGGTACTCAGTGAACAGCAGCTTAAATTATCATTGTGTCCAATTAAACATTTAGTCAAATGAAAGTCTGGTATGTGCTTCAAATAACTCAGTGGGGATAAGGGTATGGGTATAATGCATTGACCTTTGTATTTCCATGTTTCACATTTTTCACAATGAAAGGTTGAAAAAGAAACCACGGGTCTCTCGGGGTTGTCTACAATCTTTTTTTTTTTTTAAACAGGGGAAGGGGAGTCAGTGCTGGGCAAGTGCTTTTATCATTTAGCTATATCCCCAGCTCTCATTCTCAATCATGAAAAAAAAATCATAAGTGATTCTACGTAGACCCTGAGATACATCCCCATCCCATTTGGTCACTGCTGGGGACAGATAAAACAGGAGAAAAGCCTGAAGTTGGCTGACACATCACTCAGCACTATTCAAATATAGTCTCCATGTGACTGAGTAGGCAAACTCTATATTCATTGTCCTGACTCTCCAAGTTATGGGGATTTTCAAAGGGTTCCCCACACCGCAGATCCTTGTAGTCTTCCCCATACTTTCTGCACACCCCCATACTCACTGAGCCGCAGGGAGCCTGCCAGGCCCCGGATCACTGTGATGGGATTTCGGGGGTCTGTACAAAACTGCAGCAGCACTGGTGAGAAGGCATCCCGTTTGCTCTCCAGCTGAGAGATGACCAGGAACAACTGGAGTCAGAGCCCTGTCCCTAGGCTCTGAGCTCCCCAACCACCCTAACACTGTCCAAGAGGACAGATGGCTCACATACATAGATGCTGGGTGTAGGAGGGTTAAGTTTTTCCCGGGGCAGCTTCTCCTCAGTGTTGATCTTCGGTTTCACAGACTGGGCAGGGGAAAGGTAGGACTCTCGAAACTTCCCTTTTACCTTGGCATTCCTGTGGGAGGAAAACAGAAACATCAGGGTAATATGGGGAGGAGTCTATCCCTGGCCATGTTTGCAGCCTCGGGGTTAAGAGCACCCAACTCACTTGCTGGCACGCACGACATCAGCAGCACAGTGGCTAATGGTGAGGTCCGCCATGCGCAATCGCCGCTCTTCTACCTCAGAGGCTATGAAGGTCTCCTTGTCACCACTTTCTACCTTGATGAGCCGGATCTTCAGCTCCTTGGGGGGCCCCTCACTAAGTGAGCGCAACTTTAGCATGTCAGCACGACTGACACCTGGGGGCCCTGGAGCTTCCTCTCGAGTCTTCTTTCCAGGGACAGAGGCTGACGGGGGTGTGGGTTGGGCAGAGGGAGCAGGAGTTGGCGGAGGGACAGGAGCTGTGGGTGGCTTGGCCTTGGATGACCCACCAAGATCAGGACGGGCCTTCTCCCGACCCTGGATCTCCTCGCTCTGCAGGTCCAGGTTCCCTAGCACCCGGCGGCTCTTTTCTTTGGGGGTCTTGGTCTTGGCTTTGGCCCTCCCCTCACGGGGCCGCCGACCCACACTGTCCTTACAGGCTCTCCTGTGCCTACGATGCTCCTTCTGGTGCTCCTTCTGGTGTTCTTTCTGCCGCCGCTTGCCACTGCCTGGTCCTGTTGCAACCACAGCCACCACCCCACCACTTTCCTCCTTGGTCTGTGCAGAAGGCATCAGTCGCTCAGTTCCACTGTCCACTGGGTCTGCTGTGTCCACTGGGTTGATAGCACTCCGGCCCACCCGCTCCACAAGGGTCTCACAAGCCCGACTGATCTCTTCTAGCACCTCAGACTCAGAGCGAGCAGGGGGCAGTGGCAGGGGTAGGGGCGGCTGGGCAGGGGTCACCGGGCCGGGAGCTGGCTCTTCACCAGCCCTGCGTTCCCGGGCCCAGGGCCCGCCTGAGGTAGAGAACTGAGATGACGAGGAAGCAGAGGGCTGTGGGGAGCCCTGGGCGCTAGGGACCACTGAGGTGGGTGGCGGGGCGGTAGCACCTGATGGGGGACCAGGGGAATACTGAGTGGTGGGCAAGGGCCCAGGTCGGGTGGAAACAGCTGTTCCAGGCCCCCGATAACAGTACTTTTGTCCCTCCAGCACAGAAGCCAAGGATTTGAGCAAGCTGGCTGGGTTGGCTGGTGGGGGTGGTGGGGGCTGTGGCGGTTGTGGCTGGGGAGGTGGAGGGAACTTGGCTAGGGGGGGTGGTGGTGGCAGGGCTGGTGGTGGCTTCTTCTCCTCTTCCTGGGTGGTGGTGGTGGTGGTGGTTGTGGTAGTGGTGGTGGTGGCAGCAGCTGTGGCAGCAGTGGTGGTTGGGACTGTGTCGCTGGGGAATGGAGGCTGCAGAGATGCAAAGGGTTCCTTCAGCGGGGGTGGGAGGACCACGCCTGCCTCCTGCTGCTGCTGCTCCTCCTCCTTTCTAATTGATTCATCCAGCATCTTCATGATGTTAGCCAGCCCATCGGGTAGAATCTTGAACTCAGCTGGCTCCTCAAACTGGTCCTCCAGCGGGGTTGGGGGAAAATCAAAGAGTCGTGGGCCTCTTGCAGGCAGCTCCCCAACCCCAGGAGGCACAGGCTGGGGGGCTTTACTCAGGGGGCCTGGGGGTGGCCCTGGCCCCACCTCGGGGGTCTTTGGGAAGGAGACCCTGGGCCGGGGGCTCTCCGAGCGCCTGAAGCTTCCTGAGGTATTTTGGTGGCAGGAGGAGGGAGGGGTTGGAGGCAGGGCAAGAGTCAGGGGTGCAATAGGTGGGTCCTGGGGGCTTAATGTTGGGCTGGGTGGCCGGGGAAGGGAGTCCATATTTCTGGCCAGATAAGGTGGGGGGAAGGGCACAGGCCCAGTAGGGCTGCTGCTGTGGCTGCCATTGTTGCTGCTGCTGCTGCTACTGCTGGTGGTTGAGGGAGTGGGAGGGGTGTGAGAATCCTGAGTGCCCACAGAAAAGCGGGGGGCTGGAGGCCCTAAGAAGCCCTCTCGGTGGGGAAGTGGGGGAGGGCGAGGGGGCCCCTCAGCCCCAAAGAAGAGCTCTTCTAAGATCTCTCCATCCTCTCGGGCTGTCCGGCAAGCCTGGCCCTTCAGCCAGGCAGGGGGTGGGGGTGGGCGTAAGAGGCGGGGACAGGGGGGTGGAGGGGAAGAGGAGGGCCCAGGTGGCAGGGACAGGTGGGGAGTGGCAGCAGGAGCTGCCAAGAACGGTTTTCGACTGTTGTGTGCCGAGGACCCTAGGCGACCCTGGTGAGGGGAGACCTCCAGCGCAGGAGTTTGGTAATGGTCAGCGCCAGGCTGTAATATAGGATGGAGTGGTCAGAGTGATGCTCTGGCCACCTCATAAAAGCTTCACCCCATCTTTCACCACAGGTGATCACTCACAATGCCTGGACTGGGCTCCACACCCCGAAGACCGGTGTTGCTGCTGCTGCTGCTACTGCTGCTGCTGGTGGTACTGGGGAGGCCAGGGGGCCGGGAAGGGGCGTAAGGCACGCAGGCGGTAGTTGCTGCTGGTGAAACGCTGGAGTCCATCCGCGACCTCTGAACTCTGCTCTCTCTAAGGTCACTTCCGGGGGGACGGGTGGCAGGCAGGCAGCCATGGCTCTCTGCTCCTGGGGGGCGGGGGCTGGGGCCTGGGGGTGTGGCCGGGACCAGCCGGTGGCTGGGGGGGTGCGCAGTGTAGGCTGGAGCTGGGTATGGATATGGGTGAGGCAGCGAGTGCCGCTGTTCCTATGGGAGATAAATAAGGATGCAGGATATGTATAGAAGGTACTGAACTTATAGGTAAAAGGCCTCAAACAAGAAACCTGGGCTCACCTGGCGCTCTGGGGGTGCTGAACTCTTGCGGTCGGGGCCCCAGGTATCTCCATGCAAGGTACTCCATAGCCCTGGCTTGGTCAGCTGAAATGGAGGGTTCGTAGCCAGGCCAGGCAGGGGTGGTGGTGGTGGTGGTGGTGGTAATGGTGGTGGAGGCAGTGGCAGCCCTGGGGGAAGGCCAGTCTAGAAGAAAAGAGTGTGTGAAAATCTTACTCCTTGTTCCAGACCTGTGTACTCTCTGCCTGCTGGCCTACCTACAACCATACCTGTTCAGAACTGCAGCCTCTTCTACGCTTGCCTCCAGGGCTGAGGCCCTCCTCCCCTGAGGGTCCTGAAAGTGCTGCAGGAGGAATAGGCTGCACCACTGGGGGTTCGGCAGCTCGCTTCACAGGCGGACCCCCTCGCTTAGCTCCATAGTTCCGCTTGTGCTGAGGACAAAATGAAGAGAGACAATGGTATGGGTGCAGGTCTAGCCCAGCCCTCTTCCCTAGCCCACTTATGTTATATGTTATGTTATATCCCCATCCTCACCTCAAGGTGCAGCAAGTTCCACACTTGCTCCAGAGGAGGAAGGATCTTGGCTCTGTGCTGGCAGGAGCCAGCATGAAAGTTCCAGAGCTGAGCCTGAGGGGTCAAAGGGCAGAAGAAGGCATAAGGTGGGGGCACTGAGACAGAAGGCACATTCTTAGCCAGCTAGGTCCTGCCTCATCCCACCTGCTGTAGTCGCCCAATGCGGGGCCCCAGCTCAGAGAAGCTTCCTCCATATCGAAGGGCGCTGTGGTAGCAACGTATAGCCTCCTCACTGTCATGTTCTGACTCGTACAGCTGCCCAAGCTGTTCCCACAGTCCTGGCTGGGCTGGCTCCCGGAGCAATGCCTGCACACATCCATGCAAGGATTCCAGCTTTCCATGGAGGGGTCTTGGGGTGGGTGTCCTAAAGAATAGAAGGGATTCAGAAAGGTTAGGCTTCAGGGAAATATTTCAAGGTCCCAGTCTTTACTTCCCATTTCAGAACTTTTGAATCCCCCACTCACCCTGGAGCATAGTATGGTTTGTTGGGATGTCCAGAGCTACTGCCATGCGAAGTAGGTAGGGGAGCAGGGAGTGGGGGTTGCCCGATGCTGGCTGAGCATCTGGAAAGAGAAGGGTTACATTATATACCACAAGAAGGAATAAGAGCCCCTGAAAATAGTACTGAGGCCCATGAAATGACAGAAACCATACAGAATGTTTCAGAGATTGAGGGGTAGAGAAGATAGAAAGAAGAGTGCTGGGAGACACAGTTCAAGTGCTTACCTGCCTCCAGGCAGCCATGCGCCTCGAGGAGGGGGATGGGGCGGGCAGGAGCTCCAGGCCCCAGCACAGCTCAGGCCCCCAAGGGCAAAGGCTTCCCGTGCAGTGCGGGCCCCTGGAGGGTCCACTGCCCGATGCATCCAGCCTAAGTAGGGGATAAGATTGTGTTCTTACTGGAGGCAAAAGCAGAGCTGCCAGTGTACACCCAGCCAACCCAGGCCCAGTTTTTCCCTTACCAGGTCAGCAGTGGCCCCAGGAGCCCTGGAGATCGGGCACGGCCCCCTGCCCCAGCTCTCTGGGAAGCTGGGAGGATGGTCCGGCTCCAGCCGCTCTGACAAGAGTGCCCACTGTACCCAGATGGCAGCCCCTAGCCTTTCACAGCCAATTCTACAGAAAGAGGCAAAAAGAGTGCAGTGAGCTGGCCAGCACACAGGGCCCAGGGGTTGAGTTGGAATGCCTGTAGCACCCCCAGGTCTGCTTTTTTGTGCAGGAAGTCTGAGGGAGATCTACAGGGCCTAAGGGTCCCTGAAGTCCTGAAAAGTAGTGTCACTATAAGTTCGGAGTGACAGGGAGCCAACTGTGGGGCGACTGTGTGGTTGCACTACCTGCTAGGTTTCAGCTCCTGGGACATGCCTGCTGACCCACAAACCCGCAACGTTGCTGGTGCTTACCCCGCCTCGGTGGGAGCGTCCTCTTACGCGTCGGGCGAGCTTCAGAGATCTGGCCAATCACAGGACTTCCTCTCTCCCCGGAAAGCCAATCATCACCCGTGTCTCCGCCTCAGTAACAGCCCGGCTGGAACCAATGGGAGCAAGGTTAGCCCGGCAGGCAGCGCCTGGGGAGGAGGGGCAGAGGAGCCGGTCAGACGGGATCGGCCTGGGGTGACCCCGATGTGACCCCGCGGCTCCCACCAAGGGTCCCATCTCGGATGTGATACCCGGGGTAGTAGGGCAATAGCTACAAGCAGGTGGGCTAAGCACAACAGGCACGGGTGAGGACGGTGAGTCGCACGCTTGGGCAGGCATGGCGTTACCGGCGAGTCTCACGCACCCACGGAACTATTCGTGGTCTTGGCCACCGCAGGACCGATGGGGTGCAGATGGATCCAGAACGCAAAGACATCTCTTCCCATTCTCATTTTGCCTCACCTAGTGACTGAGCCAACCACCCTCAGCCCCTCTTTGAACTGCTTAGGGCTAGCCAGCCGTGCCAACTAAGACACCCAAACCCATCCGTGCCGCTAAGAGCGCTCCACTCCCAAGGCCTGACACAGTCCCAAACAACAGTCAAGTCTCCAACCTCATACCAATTCCTTTGGCTCCTCCACTTCCCCTGGCTCTCTGGGTCTTCAATACCAACCGACCCCCCAAGCCAGACACCCCCCCACACCGCTTTAACACCAACTTCTGAGAAGTTGCGCACCGTGGTCCCGAGTGGCCCCTCTCGCGTGGCTCCCGTATCCTGTATGCCCTTTCCCCGCCGGGGCCACGCGGTTCCCCACGGCCCACGTGGCCCCCACCCCCCGAGGGAGGGGGGATTTCGGGGGTTGCCCGTGACGTGGCTACTTGCGCAGCGGAAGCGGTGTGTGTAAGTGTACTGAGGGGGGGTGTCCTTCGGGAGGGATGAGGGCGGGGCCCGACGAGCAGTGACATCACCCTTGTCCCACTCTCACCGCCTACTCCCTTAAAGAACCCAGAACCCGTTTCACTTCCTCCCTCACGCGCCCCCCCACCCTTGCCCTCGGTGCTGGCGTGACCCACAGTAGACACAGCATTCCCCTCTCCTGGGCACCTTTCTTTTAGCCTCAGCTCTTCCTTCTTGCTCTCTGAATCCAGGAACTAAGTCCCAGCGCCTACCCCGCATTCTCCCAGGTAGGAAGCCGGCTGCGCTCCCAGGATCGGTCCATTGAGAGTCTAGAGTACAAAGAGCTGTGAGAGCTGAGAGTCGAGTACAAAGCGGCGGGGGCGGGGCCAGCGCTCCAGCTGGAGCCAGAGCCGAGCAGGAAGCTGGGGGAGAGAATGTGGCGAGGGGCTGGGGGCGGCTGGAAAGTTCGCCTTTGCGTTAAAGTCTGCGCTGTGGGGAAATTTCCACCAAGCCCACAAGGGCAGAAGGGTTTCTGGTGAAAACAGCCCTCCCTCCCGCAGGGGCAAGGTCGACTGTTTGCAGGGAAGCACTCTGTCAGGGTGCGCCACACTGCGGCCAACCCTGGTGAGTGCCTGCGCCCCAAGGACCCTCGGAGTTTGTCAGAATTCTCCACTCCAGAGGCAACCAAGTCCTGGAACAAGTAAACACTTCACTGTGGCCGAGCAGAGCCCAAGCTGGCTGCCCCCACCCAAGTCCTGCAGGGACCCATGGAGCAGACGTGGGCAAATGGGGACCTGGGACACAAGATACCAGAAGCAGATCTCTGCTAGGGAAGTGGTGCCCAGGGCGCTACCAGTTACCAGGAAATGAAGCTTCCCCTTCTGCGATGATGACACTTCCCCTCTGCCACTTCCCCTTTCCCACGGGGAACTGACTCAGCTTTCCCTAAACTATCAAGTTCTGTCCCTCCAGCCCCTGATCTTCAACCTTTATTCACAAACCCTTACGCAGGCACCTGGGACTATAGAGCACACACTTAAGGACAAAACTTCCTATATACTAGTCACATTCACTTTGCCAGCCACCTCGGATCCTGGTTCCCACCCAGGACCTAGAAGCCTAACTCCCACCCACCCCCTCCCCCACAGCCCTCCCTCAGGGTCTGATTCAGGCTTGGGGTGGCAGAGCGTGAGTCACCCAGAAAACCTTCTTCCCCAGTTCCCACTGACTCAGCCCCCGCCTCCCCGAACTCACACAGACACACAGTCAGAGACAGACACAACTCCTCAGCCCACACACTGCTCACCACCGGTCCGGTGGAATTTCCCCTCTAGTCTCTCTCATGACAACCCCTCCCCGCGTCGGGCAGCCCCGCCGCCGCATTCACACCTGTTCCCCGGCGGTCGGGTCGCAGTACACTCTCACCTCCACTTTCGCTTCGGAGTAGGAATAGCCCTCCCCGACTCCCAGTGTCCATACTAACCAAAGGGAGAGGACAACCACTGACAGGCGCAAAGACAAGACACCCACAGACTCCTTGAAGACAGACAAGAGGTAGACGCGCATGGCCAGAGCCAGGTTGGGAGGGTGACACTTCGGAGACAGACATTCCAGCCTCTCCCAACCCGGCCCACAATCCCCAGAGTCAGCGGCTCTGAAGGGGTTAATTCCACTCCTGCAGAGACCACGCCCTCTCCATCCGGGCACTCCCGGCAAAGCCCAGCTCCTCCCCCTCCATCCGGGCTCTGGACTCCGGGACTTTGACCGACCCCCTCCTGGTAGAGCCCCAAGAGAGAACCACTCCATCAATCACACCCACTTAACTCTCTCTGGGCTTAAGGTGGAGGAGCCCCTCCGCGCGGCGCCCGAGCCGCACGGGACGCATGGTCAGAGGCCTGCCGTGCCCATGCAGACTCAGTGCCGCCAAGGACTAGACCCTGCAAATGGGGTTTTTACCGAGCAGATAGCAGACTGCATGAGCCCAAGGTGGGGTTGGTCCAGGACCCCGCTGCATCCCGCTCCCGGTCTATTCTACCTGGTGGAAGCGAGGAGTTACAGACTCGCTTCCTACCTGGGAGAGGGGGAGGCGTTGGGGAGGGCCGCCAGCGGAGGCTACGCTGTGACTCAGCCACCCGGGCAGACCGCCCGCCCGGGATTCCCTTCCCCAGCCTTCCCCCGCCGCCGGCCCCTCCCCGCCTCCCATCAAGGAGTGACACTGCTGGCCCCGGCCCGCTATGTGTCACTGCGGGCCTTGTGTCTGCTTCTGACTGGGCGCTGTGTTCACCAATCTGTCTGACAAGGTCGGCAGTGAGTCCCGGTGTCTGTCTCCGCGTGCACCTGCATATCTGCTCATCTTGTCTCCTCAGTGCCTGTGTCTGACGCGTTCCTGTCATTATCCCTGTCTACATGACTCCGCAGGGCTGTCTCTGTCTGTGTGTCTGCCTGGCTCCTGTCTCGGTCTTTTGTCTGGGTCTGCCTCTGCATCACTCGGGTGATCACGTGTGTCTCTGCACATGCCCTTCTGTGCTTGCCTTCATGTTCCTGAACAGAGTCAGGGAAACACTGGAGCAGGCTTACCCTACTGACTCCGCGCCTCACTCCCCTGAATCCTGACGTCTTGCAGAATCAGCGATCCTTCTGTGAGTCAATTACTTGGGGGTCTGTCTGCTTTCAATCAAGTTCTGTCCCATTTCTTAACATCCTTGCTTATCCTCACAGCTCCCTGAAGCTCCCATTATGACAATAATTGCCGCATTCATTGACTACTTATTAGATGCCAGGCACTGATAAGCATTTTACATACTTTTTTAAAACTCTTCCCCAAAACTTACTATTGGAAGCACTCTGATTATCCCATTTTGCACATGAGGAAATTGAGGCTCAAAGAAGTTAGGTAACTTGACCAAGGTCATTCTGCAAGTGACTGGGACAGCTGCTTTCCAGAGCAACATTCTTGCCACTCTTCTATGCTGCCTCTGTCTTATTCCTTCTCCCTTGGTCTTATCCTCACAGGCCAAGTCTGGGCCAACCTCCCTCTCAGCTTCACCCTCTGTTATCATCCCAAATGTCTCATGTGCTCCAGAGAAGGTGTGGGTAGGAGGATGTGCAGCAGATCTCAAAAGCCGTAGGTTTCTTGGCAATGAAGCTCATTCAGTTAACACATTCATTCAACACAAATCCACAGAGGCACCCCAATGTGCAAACCGTCATACTAAACAGTGAGAGATACATAAAAGAAAACAGTCCCACTCAAGAAACTCAGTGAGTAATGGGGAAGAGCAACACACACTCATGAAACTTAAGTCCCTGGCTTAGACAAGATCTCTTTCTCCTATAAAGGAAAAGGGAATGTAGCTGAGCCTCAGACAGAACTGGGAGAAGGAAGGTGGGAAACAAAATGAGGATTAGGACTTTGGGTGTGGGGAGCAAATGCATGGGACAGAAAGGGATTTGGAAGGAAAGATGAGATGCTAAGATCGCCATGACAATAGTGTTGGGGCAATGATCTCCAATATCTCTCCACTTCAATTTCTAACATCCTTCATAAGCCAAGTTATCAACAACTCTTACAGGAGTAAAGCCCTCTCCCTCCGAAGAATTCTTCCATGGTATCTGACATCTACTTTCAACTTGCAAATCCTAGCTTAATTCAATCAGCAACTGTGTTGCTGAGTTGGCATGGGGTAGAAGATTTTTTTTGGTGGTAGTAGAGAGGTTGGTGAAGTGCAGGGTTGAACCATTCATAGGAGACAAGGGGAGCTTCATAAAACAGGAGGGCTGAACCACTCAAGCATCACAAGGTGGGGGGAAGCTCAGAGTTGGACTGGACCATTCTGAGGAGTTGGCATGATCCAGATAATTTTTAAACATGGGGTGCAGGGCTGGACTTGGTGCACACTCAAGGGAATAGACTTACCAGATGGAGTTTGGTGTGCCCTGTCTCATTAGAACAGTGCCCCAGCAGTGGGGTGCAGCAGACCACAGTGGAGTGGGTAGTGTTATGGGGCTGGCATGGTGCCTGGGGGGAACCTAAAAGAAAAAAAGTCATTTAGAAGTGGGGGTCTCCCAGACTGGAAGGTTTCTCTGTGCTCCCTATCCCCCCTCACTGAGGAGAAACCTGGCTCTGGTGGTCAGATGAGATGGAAGAATTGGTTTCCATGGCAACCAGAAAAAGCCATCCCCAAAGGGATCCTCAACCTTCCCCTTGAGGAGGCATCCTGACCAGATGATAAGGGGGCATGCTATGGAATGTAAGTCTACAATGGGCACCAACTGACTGGACCCCCCCTGCTGACTCTCTAGCCTCAGAGTAGTTTCATCTGCCCCTGACAGCAGTACCAAGGCCAGACTCAGTTCTGGACCTAAGGCATGCAAACCTTCTTCCTCCAGTCTTTCTTCCTCCCAAAGGTTCCACTCTCCTTATCAAGACACCAAACAGTCAACCCCACCCTCTGGACTCTGCCCCCTCCCCTTCCCCTAGGCGGGTGCAGGCAGGTCTTGGCGAGCAGCACAGGTGGCCAGACTAGATGAACGGGCCCAACAGGGAGAAGCCTTCCTCCTCTGTAAGAGCTATGACTCTGGGCCTGAGTCTGGAAGTGGCCTCTGCTGCAAGTCCCCCTCCATCCTACCCCCAAGGACATATCCTGTTTCCCCATCACCTCCTTCCTCTGTGTGGCCCAAGAAGGTGACAGAGGCCCACCCCTTCCCTTCCAACCCTCAGAAAAAAAGAAGTAGATATTTTAACCTAAGACCAGGGCCAGGAACCAGGTGTCCATCCAGGGGTCAGAACTCAAGTTAACCCTCAACTCAGACTCACTCCTCAGGGGCTTAAGTGTTCTGCTCCCCTCTTCACAGTTTTCAGCCCCTACAGACCCAGACATTTGGTTGGACTCCCAGTCTAGTCTCTCCATTCCCTGGTCTTCTAGCCTCCATCCTTCCCCCTGCCCCAGAGACTCAGGCCTCTGGCCCCCAGCCTCCATGATGCAATGTGCTGCAAGTCTCCATGGCTGCTGATGACACTGCCCCCAGGGAAGTGTTATTTCTGACCCAAGCAAGGCCCCTCATTCAGCCAGGGCAGTGGTCAGCTGCAGGCTGGGAAAACAAGGCAAGTAAGGTCCTTCTGTTGGAAAAGGGAGCTTGAAGCTAGAACCCTCCAGAACAGTGAGACTCAGAATACAGAACTAGGGAGTATATGTGTACAGTTGACAGCCTTTGTACATGTGATTGTGTAGTGGGGAGGGGGCATTCGGGTCTAGCCTAGAGAGGGAAGTGAGGAGGACAGACTGAGATGAGGAGTGAGGGGCAGCCAAGGTAATCAGATGGGTGTGTAAGGGGCATCTGGACACCAGAGTGGGGGAGGGGCCAAAACCATTTAAAGGGCCAACCCCAGAGCTCTAATCCCTCACCAGCCCTGGCCCCAAGCTGGAGGCTGTAATTCATCTGTCCAACAGCTGGGGTGGGTGGGTGTGGGGGGGCATGTGAACAGGAAGGGGGATCTGGAGGAGGGGCTGGGGCTTTCTTGTGCACAGAACCAAACAACAAAAGGGGAGCTGAAGGGCCAGCTCCAAAGTACCCAGGCCAGGCTGCTGACCTGTAGACCTGCTGGTGTCCCCTACCTGATGGCCAACAGATTCCGTAGTTTAGACTCAAGGATTTTTGGCCAAGGAACAGATGGATCCAAAAGTGGGGTCCTGACTAAGCACCCCCCAGGCAGGCTGTCACCTCTCCTTGTACCTTCCAGCACAGCACCATCCCAGACCTGGCAGGCCCTGCAACAGACAGCCTCAAATGCCCTGTTCACCAGCCAAGCCTCCCCAGACAGGCCCTGCCGACTCCCCCTCCTGCCGGCACAGGGTGGCAGCGGCCACACCAAGGCTGTCCCTTTAAATCATTACCACCCCGGATTGTGTGGACAAACCAAGGGCCCTGCCCCCCCCCCCCGCGCCGGCGCCCCCCCCCCCCCCCCCACACACACACACACAAGAGTCCCCAGAAATGTGAGGGCCATTTAAAGGGACAACACAGAGGCATCTTGGTCTCTAACGGCTCCTCTTCTCCACCCCATACACACTCACCTCCCCTTTTCCCAACAACACACAGCCCCTGCCCCTCCATAGGGCCCCCCAAATTCCGGTTCTCTCCCCACCCCTAGAGACATTTAGAAAGAGAAAGGGGGGCAGGGGGGCCAGAGAACTGGGGGGGGGGAGAAAAGGACAGGACTATCTCCTCCCCCAGGGCCCCAGGGAACAGGTCTGAAGGGAAGAGCCCAGAGAAACAGCAAGATAGAGCCCCGAAAGGTGCCTCGGGCAGACCTGGGGAGCACAGGCGGAGCAAGAGGAAGGGAGTCAGGCTGCACGAGACCGAGACCGCGGGTGGTGCGGCCAGCCAGCAGACGACAAGCCCAAGTGGGGGAGATGGAACCGGAGGGCTAGGGAAAGAAGGCCGAGGAAATCGGGGAGACGGAAGGGGGAAAGGGGTCATCCAGGAGGGTGTGGAGGAAAATCAGAGGGGGGAGGGCGATCCTGGCCTGGGTTACCTGCTGGGTGTCTGTCCCCCGGCGGTGCCCCCAGAGTCCGGGTAGGGAGGGGGGAAGCAGCAGGGAGGGGAGTGGGGGCTGGGGGGGCGGGGGAGACGGTCCCTCCTCTGCCTCCTGGGCCTGCCCCGGCGCTTGCAGCCTCTGCCTCCCTCCCTCCTCCTCCCCGTCCCTGAGTCCCGGAGTCAAACAAAGAACTGTAGCAGGCTCTCCCCAACCCCCTCCCTCCCTCCTCCTCCTCCTCCTCCTCCTCCTCCTCCTCCTCCACCTCCTCCCCTCCCTCCCTCCCCACCAGCAGGCTCCCTCCTCCTCCCTTCCGGTCTCTTCCTTTAACTACCAGCACCCCCAGCCCCCAGCACAAGTCTCTCTCCACCCACCCACTCCAACCTTTTACACACCCCTCAGCCTAGCCCAGTCCCTGCTAGGGAAACTGTGGAGTCCCTTTGCAAAATGAAAAGCTCCAGATAACAACATGGGGGGTGGGGGGAGACTGGGGTCTTGCTTCAAAATCACCAACCACAGCACGATTATTTTATTTTCACAGTCAAAGGAATAGTCTTAGCTATTTCTTCTCCGAAAGGGGAAAAAAATTATAATACTAAAGAAAGAATACATGTCTTACTAAAGCCCTCATCAAATAAAGTGCACAGAACAGGCAAAGCAAATCCCCAGCACAGCACCCCACCCCATCACACACACACACACACACAAACACACACGATTATACAAACTCTCCACTCCTCCCTAACTAACTCCTAAGGTCATGGCTAGTTTAGAGAAGGCCCACCAAATATAATAAAAATAACAACTAACACTATTTAATAATAAGTATTTCATAACAAGCATTCATTCAATGTTCATTCGGAGCCAGGCACTGTGCTAAGTGCTTTGTATAAATTATCTTTTCCCTCCCATCTGCCTGGGAGGTGGGTATTAATATTGAAATTTCCTAGATTAAGAATTTTGGGCTCTGGTAGGTTGTGACCTTTCCAAGTCTCAATGGCCACTAAGAATTGGGATTAGAATCCAGGTCTGTCCTAAGAGTCCAAACTCTAAGGCACATGGAAACACATACTTATTTTTTTCCAATACCACCACCAAACCCAGGACTTAACAGAGAAGGGCAGCCATAGTTATCACTAAGTCCCTCTTCTCCAAGTGGGATGCCTCAAAACTGATCCATCTGCCTACACAGAATAAAAACCTATTTTTGACCCTTTCTCAGTTTGGGGAGTGGATTGAGCCATCAGTTAAGGGGACGTCAGAGATGAGCTGGTGTGTATCCCCACACATACAACTCTTCTCCTAGGAGCAGATGTCTTGCAACCACTCCCACTTCAACTCTAGACAGGGAAGGGGGCAATAGGAATCTGGGCCATGCAGCAGGTGGAAAAGTAAAAAGGCTTGTAGGAAGCTCTTTCAAGGAGGGAGGGACCCGGAGAGGAAACTCTCCGGTGTCAATCTAGGGGAAAGTGACCCAAGGTTCTCTCAGTCCAGACTAGGGGCAAAGTCTTTCAACTACACCACACCCGTGCCCCTCCCCCTCATAAAACTCCATGCCAGGGTTTCCCACCTGCAGGATGCTAAGGCCAGGGGAAAGGAGAGGGGAAAGAGATGGCATGGGACCGGGATTGGATTCAGGTTAGAGGTGGGAGGGTATGGAAGGGGGAAGAGGCCTCATTGCCTGGCAACCATCCCGGGGCACGTGCACTGGTGACATCATCCTAGGCCACCTCTAACACAGACCTTTGACCCCTATGGGGGTGGTGGGGTGGCGCTGACTAAGCTTCCTGGGAAAAAGCTTTAGGAATTCTGGGAACCCGAAAAGCCGACTAAGAACCCAGGCGTTCTGCCCTTATCTCTTTTGGCCCCAATACGACTCCAATCCTAGGGATTTGGGCTTCTCGCTTGCCTCCTCTTCTCCGCCTCCAGCCCTGACCTCCCAACCCACATTTCTGACGGGAGTCACGACACGCCCCTCGGATACTGTGCCTTCTCCAGGGCGAGATCTCTGGTGGGGGCGGGAGGCGGGGGACGAAGCGCCTGGTCCCACGGGGCTCCGTCTCCTATCTGCGGGATCCCCTGTGCCCCAGCCGGTCGGAATCTGTCTGGGTCCCTAACTCTCCCTCCCCTCCCGTACAGTTCTAGGGCGGAGTCAGTGGAGTTGAAATCAGGACACGGCGAGAGGAAGAGTTATATAACCCTGGGAAGCAGAAAAGGACGAGTGGATACGGGGACAGACAGTTCGAAAGGGGCCAAGAGAGGTGCAAAGAACACTAGGGAGGGTGAAGAGGAAACGTTAGGGATTGGGAGGGGTTTGGGGCACATCAAAGAGCAGGAATTCACGCGAAGAATGGGCGTGACGGCTTGAGAAGCGTCACCTGGGTCGTACGGGGCTTCCCGCAGCGCCTTCCTTCGCCAACAACAGCTGGCCTGGGGAGGCAAAGCCTCTGGAAGGGGCGCTGTACATGCTCCTTTTCTTTTGGGGAGGCAACCTAAGCCAGAGCCCGGGAAGGCAGCGACTCAGCATGTGGGGCCGGAAACCACAGCTCCGCCCAGCCCACCTGGGAGTGTGGGGCGCCAGCTGGTGGGGGGGGTAGTGGGAAACAGGTAGCTGGCCCTCCGATGCGAAGATGGGCATTAACAGTGGAGACCCGGCAAAAGAGTGCAGGCCGACTCAAACGTCTGGGTCAGAAGGAACTGAAGAGGGTACTTTGCAAACACTCAAAACCAGTAGGAGGGGGAGTGCCCGACTCCCGCGCAGGCGCAAGGGGGTGTTCGGGCGCGTGCGGCGGAGGGAGGGGTGGGCGCGAGCGTGTGGGAGTGCACGTGCAGATCCTGAGCAGCTACCTCCTCCCTTCCACCACCTTTTCCCCCTCTCCCTCTTCCGGTCGTTCCATAATGCCCGCTCCCCATTGGCTCCTAGAGCCGTGACGTCAACCACGTCCGCTGCAGCGGATTGGGCAGAGAGAGTTAGGGAATCTGGCTGCAGAGTCTCGCTCTCCAGTTACTCTGGCAACAGGGCAAGCAATCTCGGGAAGGGACTGGGAGCCGAATTAAGATCAGTGACTAGGGTTCCGCCTCCCTCCCTTAAACCACCTTGTCCATTTCTGCCGCGCCGCATCTGGCAGCTTCCCTTCTATCTTCCCAGGGTTCTCCGTGCCCGGGAACTAGACGTTCTGCCCTCGACTTTCCCCACAGTCTCCCTGCTCTCTTCAGCCCCCACCCCAAGACACAGCCACACGCCACAGCAGACAGGAAAGCGAATGGCGTTGCTTCATAACCAATCCGCGTACCCCTCCCCACCCCACTAAATCAGTTTCAACCAGGCTGAAACAGAGTCCCCCGCCCCCTCCCCACCCTAAGCCCAGTGCTCTCCCACCCATAATTTCCTGTGAGGGGTCCTAGATGACAGGAAGTCTCAGCCCATCTTTCCCTCAGGCCGAGGCGGGGGGCTTCAGTGCTTTCAGGGTCACATCCCCCACCTGCATGCCCTTCAGTTCTGGACTTCTGTGTCTCGTCCTCGCCATCTCGTGGCTATGCTGCAAAGGTTCAGCACTGAGATGGGCCCGACCCGGGAGAGGGCTAGGAAACCGAAAACCGCAGAGTAGGGGCAGGACGCGGGGCGGCGGGGGGGGGGGGGGGTTGGGGGGGAGTGAGAAGGCGAGCAAGAGAAGCCGAGTGTGAAAGGAGGTTCAGCGGAGTGGGGGGAAGGCTACCGCTGGGGCTCTCCGGGTTCCTGGTAGGAAGGTGAGGGCCGCGACTATATACCCCACCTGTGGGAAGAACTGGGGGGAGACTCGAAATGGTCACAGGACTGGAGGGCCACATCTGACCTCAATAGGCCATCGCATTGACCTGACTGCAAACTCTGCCCTTTAGTTTAGCCCTTCAATTACGACTGCCGCGCCCCACCCCAGTGTCGGGAAGGGGAAATCCCAGCCCAAGGGGAGACTGGAAATCCTTTCTGGCTCGTCTTGACATCTGGAACCCAAGATATCCGCCTCCCAGTTCTTCCCCCACCCGCCTCACTCTTTTCAGGGGAACCCGTATGTCCTGCGCCCCGGTGGTCTTCCCAGAGCCTTTTCAGAGACTCAAACGTCCATCCCAAGCTCTAACCCTCTTGCGACTCTCACGTCCCGCCCACCTTGTACAGAGATGGTTTCCCTCTTTCCAGACGCCCTCGCAGTTCCCCGTTACCTGGTTCTGGGGGATCCCAGGTGATTAGGGTCCCCAAGGTCTCCCGAGGGTCGAGCGGGCCCCCCCTCTCCCAGGCCGGGGCTGGGGGGGCCGCTCCGCCCCGTGGCGCAGTTGGATTTTCCAACACAAACACTCGTACCCCCCCTCCCCAGCCCCGCCCCCTTCTTGTGGTCCCGCCCCTCCTTGCGCTGAAGTCCTTCTCTTCGGCTTCGCCCCGCCTTCAGCGGGCCCTGCTTGCCCAACGCCAGTGCTGGGTAGAATACCGGGGGCAGGGCGCGGGGTTCAGGATGCAGTTTATCGGGCCCACCCAGGATCCCTGCCTGATAAACCCCAATTCCATTTGGATCCCGCGCCCTTCCAATGTAAGCCCCGCCCCCTCTTGTGTCCGGCCCGGAAGTTTAGGCCACACCCTCTTTAGGCTCCACCGCTCTGCTCATTGGTTCAAAGCCACTCCTCCTTTCCTCTCCAGGCCTCCCCACTTCCTTTGCTCCTTTCCCCTTACAGTAGGAGCTCACAAGTCATCCCTGTCTTGGGCTGCGGGTATAGCTCAGTAGGTAGAGTACTTGCCTCGCAAGCACGAGGTCCTGTATTCAATCCCCAGCACCACACACACATAGTAACTCCTGTCTGCTTTAGAACCCCGGAATAAGGCCGGCCTTACTCCCTAAATCACCAGCATTCCATTAAGACACTTAGGGCTTGTGCTGTTTTACTGCACATAGCTCCAATACAACTCATCCTCCTTCCTTTATGGCTAGAATGAGTAGTTATCTCCAGGGCCCCATAACACGCCAGATTCAGCCAAAGCCAATGATCTTGGCTTCCAGAGTCCCCAACCCACTCTCAAGCCAGGAAGAAAAGGAAGCCGCCTCAGTTGTCCAGGCTCATGAGTAGAGCAGTTCCCCTCTTAATCCAGTGATCAGATGTCATAGCCCCAGACCTTAGGTCGATGCCAATAACAAAGGAGGCTCTGTCAGCACTGCCTGCCCGATTGGGATAGTAATAGCACGGACAAGAATACATGCCTGAGGAAAAAAAAAAAAAAAAAAGGAAAAGCAATCAGATCCCTGAAGCCCCTGGAAGAGAAACTGAGGACTGGAGCCGGGGATGGATTAGGGTCCAGACAAGGAATGGGGTAGGCAGGCCTCAGGAAGCTGTCCCACCCTTGGCACTCTTCTTTCGGCTCTCTGCAGGTCGGAAGTGGATCGTAGGCATAAGACAGACCAGCTGCATGGGCTCTGCTTCCACTAAGCAGGAGTTCTTCCGGTCCCAGCCGGCACCCTCTAGGTATAGGCCCCGAACCCAGACACCATCCTACAGAAAGGTGAGGGTAGGTAGGAGGAAATTTAGACCCTAAGTTGCCAGCACCCTTGACCTAACTCTGTCCTCCCTTCTGTTCTGATGAACTTTTCACTTTTGCTCCCACCACTCTCCTCCACCAAATCCCCTTTTTCTCAGAGCCCAAAGCTTATCCAATTCCCACCTTGGGTGGATACACTAGGTTGCTGTCATCCACTGTGGAAACAATAAATTCCCAGGAGAGACTGTCCACTGAAATCTGAGGGTTGAAGGTGAGAATAAGGGAGGCCCAGAGAGGAGAGTAAATACATATCCCCCAACATCCCTCCCACTTCCCTCTTTCCACATTGCTCACATTGTTTTGGCGAGCTGATGACTGCAGCACAGCAGTTAGGAACCCAGTGGGAAAGGTGAAACTAGAGAGCCAGAAGATCACAGGAGGCCGTGCCCGGCTAGCCCACAGCTCAAACTGTTCCACACGCATGGCCAGGTCCCGGGTCCATGAAGCCAGTGGCTTTTGTGAGGGATATGCCTGGGGGAGGAGGCAGTGCCTGTGCTCATTCATTCCATCATACATTCAGAACTTTATTTGAGCACCTGAGCAGCTATGGGAAGACGATGTGGTGTCAGCCCCTGCTCTTCAACCAAAAACTCTCCAAAACAGTTGGGCAACAACTCTCCAAAAGCCAATTCCCAAGAAAGAAACAGAAAATGACAACAATTAATAACAGTGACCTCAATACAGGTTGAGCATCCCTTATCTGAAATGCTTGGGGCCAAAATTGTTCCAGATTTTGGAGAATGTTATTTTTGTTTTTTTTAGAGAGAGAATTTTTAATATTTATTTTTTAGTTCTCCGCGGACACAACATCTTTGTTTGTATATGGTGCTGAGGCTCGAACCCGGGCCGCACGCATGCCAGGCGAGCACGCTACCGCTTGAGCCACATCTCCAGCCCCGGGGAATGTTGTTTTGGATTGGGGAATATTTGACAGACTTTACCAGCTGAGTATCATTAGTCTGAAAATCCAAAATCAAACTTTTCAAGCATAATATTGGCACTTAAAAAGTTCCAGATTTTTGGAACATTTCAGATTTCTCAATCTGTACTATTAATAAAGTACCTATTGACTATTATGCACAGTACTGGAAATCTCTGAAACATACTTGGAGAGGTTAGTAACTTTCTCTGAGTAAGTTTGTAAGTTAATAAATTGTGCAGAGTCTCACAGTCAGTGAATGGTAGAGCCACAATGCAACCTCAAATTCTGGCCCTCCCTAGAATCAGAAGATGGGGGTGTGGTGAGAGGAGAGCTCACTGGTTAGCACAGGTTTAATCAACAGTAGTATAATCTTGCCTTTCCCCAGAGCGGAGGAACGTGGGCATCAAAAATGCAATTGAAAATCTCTTCCAGGCTTGTTGACATGACGATGAGGCCCTGGATGCCCTTCTCTAGGTCTGTCAGTGAGAACCTAAGCAGGATGAAGTAGGTGAGTATTTGAACTTTGGCTGGGCATGGGAGAGCCATACCCAGCCAGGAGGTGAAGGCCTTTCCCTTCCCCTTCTCCCATTTCACAGAGCCCCTCTCCATATTACAGGATGGTCTCCATGAGTTTGTTGTATCTCTGAATCTCCTGCAGAAGGACCACATTGAGTGGGGAGGGGTCGAGAGCCAGCAGTTTTCGGGTCCCCTCATAGTCAATCATCTCGGGGATCTTTTGTTTCACATCAGTAGCCAACTCAAGGACCTGAGGAAGCATGAGCTCAGCACAGCCTTTCCTCCTCAACACTCCCCGCCAGGGGTCTGCCTGATCCTACCTTCTCTTCCCGGGTCTGGCCACCAGCACTGATGGGTGTGATTTGGGGTTGCAGAGAAAGCAGAGTCTCAAAGAGGGTTCTTGCTTCTGTGATCTGGGAGGCCACATCAGCATTGGGGTGCTGGCCAAAGGCCTCGGGAGGGTCCATGCTAGGTAACAAGCTGATGTATTCCTTGTAAGAGGCGAGGGTTCCATCTTTTGGAATGAAATAAGTCTCTAGGACTGACAACCTGGGGAGCCACAGCATCATTGTCACCATATCACCAGAACTTGGGTTTCTATGCCAGACCAAGACCCCAGTCCCTGTGCATGTCCTGTTTGTCCAGTTCCTGGCTCTTGTTGCCCCTCCCAGACCTACAAACTGGGTCTTCTCTCAATCTCATGCTATCTGCTCAAACACTTCCCCTGCCCCCAATCCTTGCCACTTGGTCCGTGTCCTTTTGTCCCCTGCTCAATGTCACCTTCCCCTTACCGGTAGAATGGAGTTGATAGAGATTGGTCACAGAAATAGTCATTGATGTAGGTTGTAAGCAGGCGCCGGTCCCAGTCATCTGTGACATGTCCACCATAGTTGACACCAGCGATGAGGTACTTCAGTGCATCCCAGGGTGTATCCTCATACTCATCCAGATAGAGACTCAGCAGGTTCTCTGACACCTGTGCATTGTCCCAACCCCAGCCCCACATACAGTTATGACAGGATCTCTCCTAAAGGGGCTTTTAACACAGGCTTTCTGTCAGCCAATATTCCCAAAAGGCTGCCATGGGGCAGGAAATATAAGGAAAGAAGACTGGGATGTGGGACCCCTGGCTAGCACAAACCTCAAAATCAGAGTCATTGAAGCCATAGATAATGTTCCAGCCAAGCTGCAGGAACTTTTTGCGTTCAAGTAATACAGAGTGGAAGAAGCAGAGTGCAAATAGCAACTTCTTATATTTGGCAGGTTTGGTGCAGTGGGAAAACTGTGGTTCCGATACCAGGTGGTAAAGACGTGTCATGTTGGCCTTTAGTCCCTAGGAGCAATGAAATACAGAGGTAAGGTGACATATTTCATGCCTAGTCTGGCCACTAGCACAACCGTGTACAGTTGTGGAGGTTGTTCACTGCACAGAGGCACTGGTTTAAGAGGTGAATGGAGTTTAAAATCTAACCCTTGATCTGCATGCCAACATGTGCACCCATTTACAAAATTAAGTACCTTTTTCTGCCTGATTCACACATGGGCCCTGTATAGGTCAGTGGCTTGTACATTTGATCCTCTACATTTGATACTCGCAGCCATGGTGTTCTCAAGGATAGATCAACCAACTCAATTTGGGAGTGTCAGGAAATATGAACAAAAGCAAAGACAAATACATGCAACTTTGTTATGTTTTGTTTTTGTTTTGTACTTGGGGATTGAACCACCCAGGGGTGCTTTACCACTAGCCACATCCCCAGTCCTTTTCTATTTATTATTTAAGACAGGTTCTCACTAAGTTGCTAAGGATGGCTTCAAACTTGTGATGCTCCTGCATCAGGGTCCTGAGTCACTGAGGTTACAGGTGTGTCCCACCACATCCAGTTCAACTGTTTATTGTTGTTGGTGGTGGTGGTGATGGTTTTTGTTTTGCTTTGCTTTTCAGTGATGGGGGCTGAAATCAAGTTGTTTTTAGTGGTTCCCAGGGCCTTGTGCATTCAAGGCAAGCACTCTACCAACTGAGCTATATCCCCAGCCCTAAAATCAAGATCTTGCATATGCCAGGCAAGCACATTACCCCAGAGCTACACCCATAATCCCATGTAACTTGCTAATTGACAAAAATGTGCAGAATTAAGTGCAAAGGTTCACTATAGATTTAAAAGGACATTGTATATCATCAGTATGATTAAGGAGGAACATTCTGTGTGATTGTATTTAGCAAGCTCCTTGAATAAGTTAGGAATTGAACTACATCTTACAAATGAGTAGGATATGATTATGATTAGACTTGAGAGGAGGATCTTGGTTCCTTGAAG